CCAATATCTTCCCAGGCAGTACAATCTCCCTGTTTGGTAGCTGCCTAAAATTTTTAGTAATATTACTTTGATACAACATGATAAATTAGACAAACAATGAAAATAAACAAATAAAAGTTATTTACCAAGACCTTCTCTCTGAGAACAGAGGGGAGATAAGACGGCTATTTATAGCCTGTCTTTGTATAGGAAGTCGACCACACTATAAATAATTAATTTAAAATTTATATATTTTACATAGAATATTCAGTACATGACTGCAATTATAAAATATATATATATATATATATATATATATATATATATATATATATATATATATATATATATATATATATATATATATATATATATATATATATATATATATATATATATATATATATATATATATATATATATATATATATATATATATATATATATATATATATATATATATATATAGTGAACCCTCATTTTACGCGGTCAATTGAACCCATGGAGGCCCGCGTAAAGCGAGAAAAGCGTAAAGTGAACAACATAACATATGGGATTAAATGAAATAGAGACCGGCTGACCCCCAAACTCCACTTTTTCCGACACAATACAGTGGGGTATGCTATAACGAACGTAATTGGTTCCAGAACCTCGTTCGTTATAGGATTAATCCGTTCCAGGCCCCCAAATACAACCGCTTAACACTGAAAAAATTCTGTGGAAAATGTAAAAAATACGGTACTTTATCTTACCTTAGTGTTATTCAGCATGCAGGTACCCCTAAACACTGGCACATCACTATCACTTCCACTGGGAGTCTTGGCTTTAAGGTCCTCAAACAATTGTTTAGCCTTCTCACAAATTATAGCTTCACTAATGTTACCACCTGCCATTTCTTTCTCCTTTATCCACACTAAGAGTAAATTTTCCATCTCTTCAATCACATTACACCTTGCTTTGCTAAGTCTAAAGATTCCCTTAGCCACTTGCACAGTTTTAACTCCTCTTTATTCTTCAAAATCGTACATATAGTCGATTTAGCCATCCCATATTCATCACTAAGTTTCGCAATGCTTCTTCCATTCTCACGTTTCTTTATAATTTCTTTCTTAGTTTCAAGGGTTATTAGCTTTCTCACTCGCTTTGGACGACTCATTGTTACAATTGTATACTTGTATAACAAAATAGTTATACAAATAACGCGAATTTCCACATCAAAAGACGAAATTTCAACAATAACAGTGGTGCACTGGCTACACAATGAGACAAAGATGGCGCCTGACGCTCTTGTTGTGGGTCGCGGTACAACAATATTCATGCGCCAGGCGAAATAGTCCGGTATTCATCCGCGTTCGTTGTAGGAGTTGCGTTCGTTATAGCATTCTCAATTTTATAGGTAAAACCGTTCGTTATAGGAATATTCGTAGTAGGATCCGTTCGTTATAGCATACCCCACTGTACCTATGTTCTAGTAAAAATAACATCTTAATTTTATGATGGTACATGCACACAATTAATACTTAAGAGAAATACAGTCGCCAAGTTAATGTCCATTCAAATAATGGACTCAACTCCCTCCCCCTCTTCTCACACTCGCTGGCTCTTCCCTCCCCGAGAAATTTTTTGGGGGAAAACCACTAGATTTTAAGGTACAGTAATAAATAATACCTCAAACTAAAGTTAGGATAATATAATTGACATTGCTGGATTCCTTGCAAGACCAGGAATATTTTGAATATAAATGTCATATATTTTGCACAAAAGATAACATATTTACTCAGAGTAAACAAAATACTTACATTAGATCTAAAATTTGTATGTCTAATGCAAATTCTATGATGTTTATATTAAAAATGATCATCAAATTGTAAGAATTCCAGCAATGTAAATTATATTCTGGCCGGGTAATTTGTATGAATTTTATGAGCTAAAACAAATATCTTCAGTTAATAAAAAAAAAATATTCTTCACGACACTATCTGTCAATCAAAGTCCCCAACCTTTCCTCCCCCCCCTCTTCCAACCGCGCCAGATGGTCGGTCGGTCCCTCCCTCCCCCCCACCAACCCTCCCTACCAGAGAAATGTGTGGGAGAAACCAGAATATTTACCTTTTTAGTAATAAATAATACCTCAGACTAAAGTTAGGATAATATAATTGACATTGCTGGATTCCTTGTAAGACCAGCAATATTTTGAATATAAATGTCATATATTTTGCACAAAAGATAACATATTTACTCAGAGTAAACAAAATACTTACATTAGATCTAAAATTTGTATGTCTAATGCAAATTCTATGATGTTTATTATTCAAAATGATCATCAAATTGTAAGAATTCCAGCAATGTAAATTATATTCTGGCCCTGTAATTTGCATGAATTTTATGAGCTAAAACAAATATCTTCAATAAATAAACAAAATATACTTACTGAAATACTATCTGTCAATCAAAATACCCCACCTCCCCACCTCTTCCCACCTGCTCCCTGGGTCCCTCCCTCCCTCCCTACCCCTCACCCCCACCTTCCCTCCCTACCAGAGAAATGATTGGGATATAACAGTATATTTACATTTTTAGTAATAAATAATACCTCAGACTAAAGTTAGGATAATATAATTGACATTGCTGGATTCCTTGCAAGACCAGGAATATTTTGAATATACACTTTATATATTTTGCACAAAAGATAACATATTTGCTGTGAGTAAACAAAATACTTGCATTAGATCTAAAATTTGTATGTCTAATGCAAAATCTATGATGCTTATATTCAAAATGATCAATAAATTGTAAGAATTCCAGCAATGTAAATTATATTCTGGCCGGATAATTTGTATGAATTTTATGAGCTAAATAAAAAAATTATACTTTACCCGCGTATATGAGTAGATGCACAGCGTAAAGTGGGAATTCCGGTTCTGGCAGGGTACCGCGTAAATGTAGAAATGCATAAAGTGAAACCGCGTACAGGGTGAGAAGGTTGGGTCACCTTACCCTCTGACCTGACTACCGACCGTTGCGGTGCTATTTAAAGATTAGTAGGGTCATTACCTAATACCTGACCGTTGCGGTGCTATTTAAAGATTAGTAGGGTCATTACCTAATACCTGACCATTGTGGACCTGGTCTCACCCTCCTCTATATATACACCTTGTTTTGTACTTCTCTTTAGTCTGTACTCACCCCTGAAGATGTGAATTACACGAAAGCGCTTGGGAACTTCGTGTTTTCTTCTTTCCTTGTGGTTATCAGCATATACCTAGATCACGCGCACCTACAGTGATTTACTTGCATATATATATATATATATATATATATATATATATATATATATATATATATATATATATATATATATATATATATATATATATATATATATATATATATATATATATATATATATATATATATATTTGTGTAATAAATGTGTGTAGTAAGTATGTACAGTAATCTTTTTCGCTCAAATCCTAATGAAACACTATTGAATTAGAATACTGTAGCTGGTGTAAACAGTCGGAACAGTCCCACCACCGATTCTCTCTCGTGAAGCAAGCTTATAAATTAAAGAAAATACTTGCAGTGTGTTTAATATATTACAGTATGTTACAAATAAAAAAATAAACAAATAAATCGGTAAATCCATTTCAAGTAAATGAAACAATTGTATTCGACACCGACATTAGTTCCACTTAAATAACAGACGTTTAAGCGAGTCACTAGTGTTTACACTACACCAACCGGTAACATTTGATGCCATTACTTGAAGTGAATTGGCCTTATTTTAAGAAACCATGGATGTGTAAACAGCACTGGTCAATAGGATGGTTGGTAAAGGACTACTGGGTCAGTAACTCTCCCAATGGTTAAGTGTCACATTTGGGATACCGGTCTTATACAGCGAATAGGGTTCAAAAGCTACTTTTTAAATGGAAATTTTTGGGGTCGTCTTAAACACCCTGTCACCTTGTAGGCCGAGATATACGGTATGTTAAAAAAATTTCAGAATGAACAATAATTTTAATATAAAAAATACAGAAATATTCAAGAGACCAACTTTTTTGATATTTACTCCACTGGAAATGAATGTAAACATAGAACCAATTACTGTATTGGCGGACTAGCCGATCAGCGATGCGCACAACAAAACATGTTTGTCGTAAGGATTTCGTTAATCGAAGTTTTGTTCATTAATCGAACTGAAAAGCCTTATGGAAGCTAATTCGTTAACCGAAATTTCGTTAATCGAACTGTTCGTTAACCGAGGGACCACTGTATTTCTTATGGGAGAAATTGCTCCGCTATTCGCAATTTCGATATTTGCAACAAGTTTCATGCCCGTAATCTTTGCGATAAGTGAGGCAGCCCTGTAAATTAAATTAGTTGTGTACTATTTATCATTAGTTAAGTAGGTTTTCTTCTTGTCTGTGAAATGATTCAGTGGCTTTTGGGTATGATTTTGGGGTATTTTTGTCATTGGGAACAAAACTCTATTTTTGCCACATGTTCTTTTATTGGAGATACGAAAATTCACTTAATTTTTTTTTTTAACTTAACCAATTTGCATCTCGAGGGATACCTGTATATACAGTACTAGATACTGTACTGCACTATATCTTGTGTTTAGTGAAGCAGTGGAGGTTGGCAACATTTATAAACTTATTTCTCCACTTTTTAACTTTTAAGATTTCCCAAGATATTCTGTTAATGGGAATTTTTCTTCCATCTCTCAAACTTGTCCCATAATTCTCAGATTACGTTAATACAAATTTCCATAAGTTTGCTTCCATAATTCAAGGGATACTTGTATTTTGAAATAGCATAAAAATTACAGATTGCATGGTATATGGAGTGCACTTTCCTCTCCTAGTTTATAGGGATGATTTTAACTCGGTATAGCAAAAGTATTTCCTTTGATATTTGAGTCTTATGCCTATAACCCAGACTTCCCAATACACTGTTAAAACATAGATATCTCTCAATCTGATTTTCTTAATCACTGTTTTTATCAAAAGTACCTGAACGACAGCAGCATCAAGTAGTGTCTGAATGTTTCTCAGTACTTGAATTCTGGCTTCAACGTGTTGTCTCTCATTGCCTTCCAGCTGTCGGACTTCATCCTCTGTCATAGCTGAGAAGTTCAAAGGAGGCAAGGGTGGAGGAATATCTGTAAAGAATATCAAATGCACCTATCACTAAATATTGTTTACACATACATTTGGGGTCATGGAATAAAACTTAAATAAAAAAAGTGCAAGTTAATCAGAGAATAGGGATGTAATTTTTTTCCCAGGGGAATAAAAAAAAATTTTTCTGGAAACAAAAAAACAACCAAGATAAAAAAAGAAAGAAAAAAGTTTCTTCTCCAAATACGACTGAGAAGCTCTCTCTCTCTCTCTTCTGTTTGAAAAATTTATTTGAAATATTCCATAACATTCGACACCATACTATCCTGAACAGTGTTTCCTGTGATAAAGCCATAATTTTGAGCAGTATATTACTGTAGTTGTTTTGTACTAAATGTACTATGCTAAAGGACTAAAATCTTTATCTCTTGTGCAAATTATGCGATGTTTGTACAGTAATATCTCTGTTAGCCGGAATCCCTCAAACACCGGAAATCTCCGATAGCCAGAATTGAAATTTGCTTGGAAAATCATTCCCAAAGCCGAAATTTTCCCAAATTTTTCGAGGTTGAAAATCGAGAGAATTTGCTGAAAATGTCTTGAATAAAGATGAAAGTATTTTTGGGGGGAGGGACCAGACCAGACTCAATGTCAGGTGGAAGTAGGGTGGGGGATTAGTGGTCCCATATTACGATACTGACTTTCTGATGGAATGTCAGGTCACCCTTTCTTGGGTGGGGGATTAGTGGGTCTCATGACCTGAAGATGTCTTCAATAAACATGAAACCTAAGTATTTTTAGGGAGATTGTGGTAAGTATAAGTATAAATGAGCAAAGTTGTATGCATTCAACATAACATTACATAACATTTTAAAATATGGAGTGAGAAAACAGAAAGGTGTGAGTGATTAGAGAAATGGAGAGGAAAGGAGTGTAACATGCACCAGTGTTGCCAAGCGATAAGCTCCTCAACAGCTGATCTTTAAAATCGCCTCCATGCAGTCACACAACAAGACCCTCACTGGATGCTTGTTGTCTTAATTCCTGTGTGTGTGTGTGTGTTTTAGCTTGCCAAGAACATAGTAGGAACTGAAGAAGTTGATGAAGAGTTTGTTCAGGAGTCAGGTGGTGAGGTGACATGCCAAGACACTTACACAACACACACATTAACAGCACTACTAAACCATTGTCTTATAACATTTGACATAATAATTTATTTTTTAAAATTAATTGATAAATGTTAGCTCAACAGGGCTACTTTTGCACTTGGAGAACTGATCAATGAATAAACTAGGGCATATGGACTCATTATACACTTGTGGTGTCACAAAGCTTTGAAACTATAACCACAAATTATCACAACCTGTACTCAAATGTACTAAGTTAATTACTAAAATTATTATGTATGGTGCAAAATAAGGGATATTTATACTCAAATTAATCGATATCCAACAAAAAATCCATCAATTCAAGTTATATTCTAAGTCGAGTCAGTGACATTTATAAGCAAGAATAAACTCCTGCTCAGACCCCCCACCTCACCAGACAGAGAGAGAAGGGTCAATTGGGGGAGGACACGATACACACCCCCCAAGGATTGAACGGCTACCCTGTGTGTGTTTTGTGTGTGTGTGTGTGTGTGTGTGTGTGTGTGTGTGTGTGTGTGTGTGTGTGTGTGTGTGTGTGTGTGTGTGTGTGTGTGTGTGTTGTGTGTGTGCATGGAGTGTGTGTGTGTGTGTATGTGAGTGTATGTGTGTATGTGTGTGTGTGTGTGTGTGTGTGTGTGTGTGTGTGTGTGGGGGGTAATAATAATAATAATAATAATAATAATAATAATAAATAATAATACAATAATAATAATAATAATAATAAATAATAATAATAATAATAATAATAACGGTTTATTAATAGAGTTGCAGCCGTGGCTGAAAATATACAAAACTTACATTTGATTTAGACATAATGATATACATCAATACATTTACAGGGCTGTACAGTATATAAATTAGAGTTGCTTATTATTTTAACAATAGATGAGATGGTGCTATTCTTATATCTGTCAGTGCAGGCTCTAATGGGCTGAATGTTGTTGTAGTGGAGGACTGTGCGAGGTGGGTTGCCTGTGGCAGGAAGTGGCGATGCGAGGATGGTGCAGTAGTCCACTGCCAAACCTTGCTAGTGCTTGGTGGTGGAGGTCACTGAGGGATGGCATTTCCAGGGTGGAGAGAGCGTTGTTGTAGCCGGAGTAGTCTGGCGCCGAACATGATTCTGCAGGCCTTTTTCTGTACCTTCTCTAGCTGACACTGTTGGGTAGAGTTGAGAGAAGACTTACCAGGCTGGTGACACATAAGTTAATTTGGGGAGAATAAAGGCGTTGTAGATAGTCTTCAGCTTGGGCGTGGATGCCCCAAGTGACCTGAGTCATCGAGGTATGTACAGGGTAGAGTTGGTAAGAGGCTGCCTTGATGGTGTTGTTTACATGGGCCTTCCAGTCCAGTTTGCTGGTCTATGGTAACACCCAGGAGTTTGGCAGACTGCACTAAATGGAGAGATGGGCACCCGACTGCTGCTGAAGCTGCACTGGAGTGGTGGCGGAATTGATGTGCATGACTATGGCTTTGGTGTGGTTGATGGTGACCTTGTTCTGAAGTCCATGCTGTAGCCTGTCCAAGGTGCCTTTGTCATGGCGAGTAGTCCGTGAGGTGTTGTCCACTGTAACCCCACAGTGCAGTCATCCATGTACTTCCACGTGAGAGGGTCCAATAGAGCGGTCGTTGATCAGATTAAGGCACAGTGGTCCCATCTTGGTACTCCTGGAGAACACCACAGGTGAGGTGTTGGAATGTGGAGATAGAAACCCGGTACCTGACTGCCTGATGCAGCTCACTCAGGAAATCAGTGAGCCATGAGACCAGGTTGGTGGGCAGCCCTAGTGCAATGGCCTTGTTGATAACAGTGCAGTGATCAACATAGCAAAAGCCTTCCTGAAGTCAACAAGGCAACAGCCAGTGATGTCTTACATTTCTGCAGGTTTTTGTGCAGGAAATTCAGGAACTAACTAAGCAGTGTGATGAAGAGGAGGTCCCATATTGCCAAATTGCTGTGGATCAATTGACTGATAAAACAAGCAAATGCCCACTCAAAAACAAAGTCTTCACAGAGTAGACTGGGTATGGGGGTAATGGCAACTGGCCTGAGGTCGTTAGGGGACTGTGGGGTGGGGACCTTGGATATGGGTGACAAATGCGTTTTCATTCATTAGGGCTTTTGCTCTGTCTGAGGGATGCATTAATAATAGAACAGAGGGGGTGGCAAGTTCAACTGCAAATTCATTGTAAATTTTGATTGGGAGGTCAATTGGGGTTGTGGAGCATTTGGATTTTAATTTCAGGAGTTTGTTGGCAATTTCAAATGGTTGAACACTGGGAGGGAGGTAAGCCGGGGGAGAGTGAGGTCAAGACTGGGTGGGTGGGTGTGTGTGTGTGTGTGTGTGTGCGTGGTGTGTGCGTGTGTGTGTGTGTGGGCGGGGTGTGTGTGGGGTGTGTGTGGGGTGTGTGTGTGTGTGTGTGTGGGAGGATGGTGTGTGTGTGTGTGAGTGTGTGTGTGGTGTGTGCGCCTGAGTGTGTGGTTGCGTGTGTGGTTGTGGTGTGGGAGGTGTGGTGTGTGCATCTGGTGTGTGTGGTTGTGGTGTGAGTGTGTGGGTTGTGGTGTGAGTGTGTGTGGATGTGTGTGTGTGTTTGTGTGGGTGTTTCGTGGCTAGGGAGGTGTGTGTGGAGTGTGTTTGTGTGTGCAGTTGTGGTATGTGTGGGGGGTTGTGTGTGATTGTGGTGTGTGTGTGGTGTGTGTGTGGGGGTGTGGGGGGTTGTGTGTGTGTGTGGGGGAGGTTGTGTGTGGGGGGAGGTTGTGTGGGGGAGGCTGTGTGTGGGGAGGTTGTGTGTGTGGGGTTGTGTGTGGGGTTGTGTGTGTGGGGGTTGTGGTTGTGGTGTGTGGGGGGTGTGTGGTTGTGGTGTGTGGGTTGTGTGTGGTTGTGGTGTGTGGGGGTTGTGTGTGGGGGGTGGTGTGTGGGTGTGGTGTGGGGTGTGTGTGTGTGGGGTGGTGGTGTGTGTGGGGTGTGGTGTGTGTGGGGGGTGTGTGTGTGGGGTGTGTGTGTGGGGTTGTGGTGTGTGTGGGGGTTGTGTGTGTGGGGTTGTGGTGTGTGGGGTTGTGGTGTGTGGGGTTGTGTGTGGTGTGGGGGTTGTGGTGTGTGTGGGGGTTGTGGTGTGTGTGGGGTTGTGGTGTGTGGGTTGTGTGTGTGGGGTTGTGTGTGTGTGGGGTTGTGTGTGGGGGTTGTGTGTGGGGTTGTGTGGGGGGGTTGTGGGTGTGTGTGGGGTGTGGGGGGTTGTGTGTGTGTGTGTGTGTGTGTGGGGGGTTGTGTGTGTGTGTGTGGGGGTTGTGTGTGTGTGTGTGGGGGGGGTTGTGTGTGTGTGTGGGGGGGGGTTGTGTGTGTGTGGGGTTGTGTGTGTGTGTGGGGGTTGTGTGTGTGTGTGTGTGTGGGGGGTTGTGTGTGTGTGTGTGGGGGGTTGTGTGTGTGTGTGGGGGGTTGTGTGTGTGTGTGGGGGGTTGTGTGTGTGTGTGGTGTGTGTGTGTGTGGGGGGTTGTGTGTGTGTGTGGGGGTTGTGTGTGTGTGTGGGGGTTGTGTTGGGTTGTGGTGTGTGTGGTTGTGGTGCATGTGAGTGTGTGCATGTGTGTGTTTGTGGTTGTAATAATAATAATAATAATATAATAAATGGTTTATTGAAAAAGGTGTGTGTATGTGCGTGGTTGTGGAGGTGTATGTGCGTTGTGCGTGGTTGTGTGTGTGGTTGTAGTGTGTGTGTGTGTGTGTGTGTGGGGGGGGTTGTGTGCGGTTGTGGTGTGTGTGGGGGTTGTGTGCGGTTGTGGTGTGTGTGGGGTAATATATATATATATAATAATAATAATAATAATATATATAAACGGTTTATTGAAAAAGTTTGCATAATATTATGCTCAAAATTTGGTATGGCAATGGGTAATCCATCTCACCTGTATTAAGCAACCTATATA